ATACATCCATTGGTGTGTGTCACAGGAGTGAGAGTTTTAGAAGATGCTGATTCAAGGCAGTTTTCAAGAGGAATCGGTTGCAAGAAATCTGTTAGGTTAAAGCCGCAACTAAACTTGAATGAGCGTACCGAGAAGACTTTGTAACCTAAAATACTAGCCTAATTCTTCGACCACTCGGCGATTGTTATGTGCATGCGTTAAAGTCTGTATTGCTACAAATCAAACAAACACCTACATCTCACCAGGTCATGTGGCAATGCGAGTATTTAAAAAATGAGGGACTTAAGGTTCGATGAGCCGGACGGACACGGGACCTCGCGGCCGGGAAAGGGACCGGAGACTTGGGGGTCACAGGAAAGGAGCGGCCGTTGGGTCCAACCGTGATGAGCAGTTAAGGTTACTGCTAACGAGTTTAACCGAATAACGGTACCAATTAAACGGTAACGATGTGGATCGTTATCAACCACGCTTCAATCGTCTTGGTCGCCTAAGGTGGACCTCGGTCACTTGTGAGCCGACCTGGCCACCCATCGGCTTCCCTGGTCACCCGTTGGGTGACTAGATCCCTCAAGATCTGGAGGCTTAGCTACTCATCATTGCGAATCCAGGCGCAAGGCAAAAATAGAGTAAGGACGTTTTAAAGGATAGGATAACATTAAGATACAACTTTATTTTCGATCTAATAGCACGACGTGTTGTGCACTAAGAAACTTGTAAGTTCGTCAACCTGTTCCGGGCCAGGGATCTTTTGGACCACCAGTCCAATAGATGGTTGTCATTAAGACATAGGGGTAAGTAGAGCCCCAGGAAGTACGTTGGCCTGTGAGTTCGTAGAGTAGCACCCCCATCTCAAGCCCGCTCTAGACGGCGGTCTCCGTACCCTAGTGGTTAGGCAGAAGACACATAAAGGCCAGGCGGTTACCACCTCTGAGTCAAGTAAAGGTCAGGAGCCACCAGCACCTGAGACAAATGATTATAAGACTACTCTTGACTAAGTCGATCGAGTGGCCGCCTACATTGGACCCCGACTAAAGCATATCCGCTCGGCCCCTCCAGGTCGACATCCATCAAGGCCGACGTCTACATCACCAACAAGTCCTCCGAAGAGTGAAACCGCCAAGCCGACGGGTACACAAGATGAGTCAAGGTCCACATGCGGCATCGGGGTACCCCCTCCGGAAGTCGGCAGTCCGACACAGTGAGTGGTTTGGGGTCTCGTCAAACAGTTTTAACAACCCAATACACCACAATCCCATACATAACAAGGAACAGTGGCGGGTCGTACCGAAACTTTCGCCACCTTGCACAAGAGTAAGAAATCAATTTTTCGAAATGAGTGCATACCGAGTGCAACCATTAATACATCTGGTTACCTTCAGTTTGTTGACAATGATTTTGTTGTTCATGCCTATCTTATCCGCCAAACCTTCTGACTAAAGCAGTTTGAAGTTACCGACGGTTGAGGAGGCAAACAATCGATCATGGTAATTGCTCGCATATTCGAATTTCGACGGCAGTCCGTGCAATAATTGAAAAGGAGGCGAAGATGGACCGCAATTTGGTGTGCCCACCACGGAACCCGTTCGTACGCTTTTGGCATTACCGTAGGGCAGATTCGTGGTCTGGAAACTGCAATCCATTGGGATGCCGTTTATTACGTGAATCATGTTAATTGAAATGGATTGCTTAGCACCTTACGGAATATACTTTACCTGTAGGTTATCCAAGTTCGCCACCGTGAACTGCCGCCCTCCACAACACCTGAGTTCTGGGGCAGTCTACGCGTTCAGCATTTGTTCATGCGTCTGGCTAATCTCATTCAATCCTTGAGTAAGACCAAATTTGTTTTCTCCGTCCAAATCCTCGCTACTCGGAATTGCCTTTATCTCACATCAACACTACAAGAAGCTGCCGGATGTAGAGAGAGACGCACTCCTCAAGAATTTCCTTATAGTTGAAAGTTGTGTCTTAAAGATCATTACATTGTGTTCTGGGTACTCGACTCCCGTCATTTTTGGACGGGAAATCGTATAGCAGGGATGCGGTTTGCGTGCGATTTGAGAGTGAAGATGTCCAAGCGTCTCTTTCCTGCGAGTAGAATAGGATTGTTGTGCTAGCAACGGTTCAAATACACACGGAATAGTAAGTGTTTGTTCAGCTATGTTAAATTGCATAGTTCTTTAGATGAATGTTTTCTTATTACAATGATGATTTTCGCCGCCGAGAATGAAGCCGTTTGGGCATCGTACGTTGTCACGAAGGAACATCCCTTTTTTAGGGTCAAAAGTATGATGTTTAGGAGCTTCTGAACTTGGCTTATGATGTGATGAATTATTGATTGCTCTGTACATGATGCGAAAGCTAATGGCCTGTTCTTGCTGCGACGTGTAGTAAGAGTAGGAATCTCCTCGGCATTTTAATGTGCAAAAAGACGGAGCAAATCAAATATTATACAATACTCGAGCCATTGACATTCTCAAGGCGGAGATCAGAATCTATTGCTGCACCTGATCAGTCGGTGCTATTTTTAATTAATGGCGAAGGACTGAATATGCTGGAAGCAGACGTTGCTTGGTATGTAGTAGAAGATTGGTGTTAACAAGATCTGACGAACCACGGTTTGATTCTAGCCTGCAATTGTGAGTCGCGTCGATCGCCTTAAACCTAATCTCCTGTGGCTCGCAAGATTTACTTGAGTTCGATGCGCTGATAGATGTTACTGAAAATGATGATATTGCAATAAAGCGCTATCTGACAAAACAGGTCCTTTGTCAACTGCTGCTTCGGAGCGTGCATCGTGTATGCAGATCGCCTCACTTCTACTTTGTGACTAGCGGATTTCCTCTGGCACGATTTTCTATCGCATTTTTTAAAATGTCGAGCCACTACACAGAGAGAACCTGCTTTGTGGAGCAATGATGATGAATACTAAAGCTGCAAAAAAACTGGCTGAAACGACAATGGCAAGTAAAAGAATGAAATACTAGATAAAGGGGTAGAATCTGTATAAACATAAAACCAGATCAAATTGCATTCACATCTGATCAAAAGTCACGGAACTTTTTACCAAACATCCCTAGTCCAAGGATTCCAATGAAACAGCACAAACAAGTCACCACTCTTTACCTTAACTTTTCAGGACAATCACTCGATGCTGGCAAGATGATCCAAGAATGTGAGGACCTGCGGTCAGCTGGTCTTACACATGACCGATCATCGAGGCTACAGCTGAACGCAACAAAGCCGTGCCTCAGACTCCTTCTATCGAAGTGAGACCGAAAAGAACGCAAACGATAGCGAATAAAACCAGGAGCGCATTCGAAATACAATATCCGGAGTCATATTCGCTGGTGCGCTAGTCCCACAGAAACTTGTCACACGTCTACAATGGGCAGGTAGCAGAGGTAGAAGAACAATCCGGGGTCTGATTCAAAAAGGGACGTTCTCGATGTATCAATCCCCGTCGATGCAGTAGAAGGAGAGCGGATCGTCCGTACGACTCGGCTGAGAACTGGATATTGCGATTGAGTGTAGTCGACCATCCAATACATGCCGTCGCCCTCAAACGTGGCCTGCTCTGTCCACCCTTGCGTACATACAGCAGATAGTCATCAATACTGACCGGGGCTTCGGTATCACATTGTAGACTTCATCTGCCTCGAGCGCATTGCGATCCGTGTGCACACTCCCCGAGTACTTGGCTGGACGAAAAAGCGAAGCAAGTGTTGTACAGGCCGTGTTGGCCGCGTTTCTATCGTAGGCGATGATGAAAGTTGCAGACGGCGAGATCGCGCAGCTCTTGAGCGCGCTTTAGCTGCTGTGGCTCTCGATCCAGCTGCAAGTGCCCGAGGCCGAAGACGGCAACAACTTTGGCGTCGAGGTGCAGAAATACGTCGATGCGCACCTGAAAGAGTCGTGTAAAAAGTGGAAAGAGACGTGGGACTCGATCGCTGGTAACCGCTTCGTGCGAGCTACTGCTGTGGAGAAGCTCGACTTGAAAGCGAGCTCTGAGTCGAGCACGATGACGACTGTCACGTCTTTTGAGGGCGGCAAAGACCGCGACGAAGAGAAAAGCGTGACGGGCAGAGTGGAGAACCAGAGTCACACGGGGAACAGTGTGTCGTGACGGACGGCGTCGTCTCGAGGGAATAAAACAAGGAGAAGATTGGGCTGCCTCGCGGGGAGAACGATCGTGCAGGGTCCCACATATATTAACAATCTAGCGGTGTAGCACAATGGAGAAGCAGTGCCATATTGTGGTGGGGTGGGAGGGGTGGGAGGAAGGAAGTGTCTCGTTGGTGAAGAACGCAGACTTGGACGATACAGAGCTGGGCAGTCAAGATCTTCATTGTTGTTTGAATTCTTGGCACTTCAATGTGGGTGACATGATGGATTAATTGCGATGACTTAGCTGGATGATTTCAGCTGAGTGATGCGGCCAGTTGTGACAGGGAGTCCTGTCGTTCTGGGCTTTGCAAAGTATGATGATCAGGGGGCATGAGTAGCATCGAAAGACTAAGAACTGGACCATTCTATGATCTGATTGAGTGCTAACGGCGGCGTGGCGACGCATTGTTCGAGACAAGTCACGCGTCACTTTTTCCAGTGGCTGATAAAATGGGGTTTTGAAGCACAGCAGTTTGCGAAATTCATGAACCGCGTAGTGATAGTTTCTATTTTTGACGTGCGTTCACTCGCAGTGGCTTTCGCACGGCGACCACGACCGTAACAAACAATGAACACACAGCGCAACGCAACAAACACAAACAAGAATATCAACAAGTGCTCAACCGTTGGATTTCATACTCAGTTATCGTCAATTGCTCCCAATTCCCCTAGCAACAGACTAACAGGCGAACACGCATTTCCGACAGAGCCAGTCAACATGCTCTCGTGCCCGCATCGTCAGGACTGAAAACTCAGTGCTGATTTTGAGACCGGCACTCGCGATAGCAGCAGTCTCGAAATTGGCCAACGCGAGTTTCATAGTTGCCGCAAGTTTAAGAGGCCTTGACGTTGAGCTCGTCACAGTGAACACCGGAGTCACTGCATTTGTAGCCAGGCGGAACCCTAGCGCTCGCGCAACGGCTCAAGCAGCAGTCCTTGAACTCGACACTAGGATCTTTCTGCCAGCTGCAAAACGAGGACGCGTCGTGGTCGAGTCCGTCGCACGGAACATTGATCGCGCTGCAGTAACGGTCGGGTTGTTTGCCAGCAGACGGGCACTTGCTCATGCAGCATTGTCGAAAGCCTTCATCCATTCTCTCGAGGCAAAACCGGGAAACGATCCCGTCGCTTTCGCCGCATGAGATACTGGCGTCACTGCAGCGTAACCCTGGCATGACAGGCATAGATATGCTGTATTCACCACCAGCGTATTCCTTGACTGAACTGGAGGCGACGGTAGCCATGAAGAGGACCAGAGAGGAGGGGACGTGCATCTTTCCTGGAGGGTTGGGTCGGTTGGGTATGCTGCGGTGAGCGGTGTTTGTGGCAAAAAGCAGAATGACAGTTTACAGCACTGCTCAAGAATGAGGTGCGCTGGAAAGAGGTGAGCTGCCTGGCAGTCAAGATATCGGATCAGTTGAGATACTTCCATACAAACGATACGTTGAAGACACGAGGCATCATTGCAGCTGCACACTGCCACCATCGCGCAAGCAAAAAGGGTCCAATGGGTGGTGATCAGCTGGCCGAATCCTGGCCAGCTCTCCCCTTCGGCAACGCCAAAGATGCATCGACAACGACAAAAAGAGCGCCAAGCTCGTGGAGATCTCGCGGCAGGGTGGGACACCCTTACAGCCTATTCAATCGAGAAAAAGGTTTGTACTATCCCGTTCCTGTGCATGACACATCATGCGCAGCATAGAAGAGGTTGGTGGGTTGCGATCAGCTGCCTTCGATCCACCAGCTCTCCTCAGTCGACTTTCTGATTCTATTCGGCTTTGCATCTGGTCGGCCTGCAGTGCTGCTCTGACCAGCTGCTTCGAACTACTCACCTCAGCAAGTATGTTTGGAAGCTTGCCTTGACCTGGTGGTAAGCCTCTAGACTTTACATGAACAGGTTTCTTCCGATCTGAAACGAGTGGAGTCGTGAATACTTGGCACGAGTCATATCTGAATGAGTAAATTTTGGCGGATGCCCCATGCCTTTGTTTGTGCACATTGCATTGGGAATAGCTACAAAATCACATGAGCACGTCGTTCATCATGGAGGGTTTCATGACGTCTTTTTTCTTGTAAACAGAAGCAAGACGGCTGGAGGTCCAGAGCCAAGATAGAAGCACCGGGTAGGGTAGCTCGTCGTGGCTGGTTTTCGGTGAGACCCACTGCCCTTGTGGCTCTTGACCGATAATTTGAGATAGGCGTGGGGACGAGCCCACTAACGGTAGTTGCCGCCGATCGATGTTCGTGTAAGCCAGTTGCTTTCAGCTGCTGCATACCAGTTATCCGTAATGTTGACGCACTCCTGACCGGAGAAGATGTCCACTCCGCAGCTACGTCGTCGATGATGCTCGAAAAACTCTTCAAGCTTTGGGCTTTCCAAATTTAGAGGCGGTGCCACGCTACCAACGCACAAGAGAAGAAAGCTTCGTCGCAATTGGCACAGAACACAGTCGTATTATGCGAGCCAAACAGGATTCACTTCATTGTAATCGGCTGGTGTGCACCCGTGGATTCCAGCCAGATCTCACGCTCGGCGATGCCTAAGGTGCATCTACAACAAAAAGCGCCACGTGCGTCGTTAGATCTAGGGACAGGGTGAGACGTCTTTTTACGACTCACATGATCGAAAGAAAGCAGCGTGTTGTCTCATGTGCGTACGAACGTCTTAGGCAAACATAGAAGAGATCAATGGGTTGTAATCATCTGGCTTGAATTCTACCAGCTCTCCTCGACCAGTATTCTGACTGCTTCGCATCCAGCTGTCTTTTTGTTGCTGTTCTGATCAGCTGCTTGTACATGCCCTCAGCAAGCATCGTCCGAGGTTCAAGATGGCTTAATAAGCCTTCAGCCCTCGTATCGACAGGTTTTACCTGATCTGAAGCGGTTGGACAGGGCGCTTGGCGCAGAACCAAACTTTTGGCAGATGCCACATGCATTTCTTTATACATGTTGCACAAGAAAATATTTCGAAAGCGCACGGGTGTGTCGTGGTGAAGCTAGATGAGTTCTTCAAGCCCCCGTCCTCATCGTTCGACAATGAAAGCGAGAGTAGCCTGTACGTCTTGGAGTACGAGACCATTCCGATCGACCATCCCGTTGTAATTAAAGCATAGCTGTGGTCCGCGGCAACATGTCGGCCACACAGGCACCGCCGTTGTGGAGACACACGTAAATATCGCGGCAAATAGTGCAATCTCTTCATCCGGAGCTCGCGTCGATGCTGCATCGGCTGTCTTCGGGAGTTGATGTCAAATATATCATACTAGAAACGCCAGTACGCTCCATATCTGTACGGGTGAAGAGCGGTGTAATTTCAAAAGCGTATTACGCACGAGCCAGAAAGCGTCCAGCGACACTGAACTCAATACAATATCATCTTTCCTCCAAATCAAATTCAATGGGAGCGGTACATTCACACGCCTTTTCCTTAAATTCACACCCCTTTTCCTTAAATTCACACCCTTTGTCGATCCTGATTTTCGCATCCTTCCTGGCAATCCTAATTTTCGCCTTCTTTTGCCAAACCAGTTTTTATAGCCCTTTTCTCGCAGTTTTATCTCTACGTAAAACAATCGAGATTAACGGGGCACCCTTTTGTTTGGGTGCCGCAAAACTTCACGTACACAAGTACGTGCATAGGAAGCTAATCTACTTGGACGACTCGATCAAGTAAAGGTAAAAAGAGAACAGTACTCAATACAGGTAAGATATCAATATAACTTTAATCTTAATCCAAATATGTTAAACTACGCCGTCGTATGACGACAACCTGCTCACCACTCATTGCGCGCGTCTAGCAGCGATTAATGACAATCTATGGTTGATATGTCTAACATCAACCAATCTTGGAGCAGTGAATGAATGTTATCCAAAAGGGATAATATTCCTTCAATTTGTTACCTATCTCGGATAACATTGGTAGAATATTGTCATGCGAGACAATATTCCTATTGACACCGTTTGGTGTCAATTTCATGTAACGGGCTACCCCGTTACATCACCCCCCCCCTTAACCATCAACCACCCGCTGATTGAATTAAAATTAATTGGTACAGGGTGACCACCGTTGGATCACTCTGGGAAAGGGAGCACTTGTTGGTCAAATCCCATTTATTTGCCAATCCAACGCATGGTTTCGAAAACCACGCGAGCTGCTACTGCAGTAGCAAGAAAGGTAGCTGCGCGCTTGCATGAGGCCGCGGAAAGGACCCCTCACGCCTCAGCAGCAGGTGATTCGTCGCCTGTTGTCGTGAATTCTCCACGTGGTGAGTCACCACGTGCGACAGGTACATCCGCTGCGTCTGCAGCAGGTACTTCGAGTCGTATTCAAGACGAGTCTGAGATAGAGCTCATCTATTCTGGCGAGTCGTATGATGCATCCAACTCGAAGGCGACTCCTCACGCCTCGGGATCACCCGGGGCGGACGCTGCAAAAGCCAGGCTGACTGGCTCTGGTCAGCGCGGCAGCATCATGGTCGAGATCTTCGGATCGAGTGATTACTCCGATGAGTCCCCGCCTCAAGCAAGTCCATCCAACGATAGGACGCGTGGAGATGGTGGTGATGCACCTATGCATCACCACGAGCGAAGCAACTCAAGGGATCGGGGTAACACTGGTGCCAGTGCTCATGCTGGCACCAATCAAGAGGCCAGGGACCGAAATGTCCTGCGCCACGCTCCCCAAGTGGAGTCTCCGTGGATGCCGCCATTCAGAGAGTTGGACCGGTTGGCCGGCTAGACTACCGAACGGGATCGAATCCCGTTGTCCGATTGCAGGAAGATTTGCCTGACTCATTCCAGCACGGAAACTATCCGTGCTGAGGAAGAATTCTTCACCGATGCGTTTTTCATACACATCGGTGGTACAATGGTAGCCGTGTTCAAGACGGTAAGGCCTTGGAAAAACGATGTAGTGCCCTCATCCACAACATCGAGTGTATTGGCCGTGAGGCCTGGCTCGCCAAACTTGTTGCAGCTTGCACCAGGTTTGAGAGACGCAACCCCGTTGGGGCGCAATTAAAGTTGCACCGGCTTTCAGGAGAGGCAGGATTACCCTGTCTCTCGTGGGGTGGTTCGTGTCCAGGTTGCCTGGACAATTCGAACCGTGCCCCTAGGGAGGATCATCCACCTAATCTTCCCTACTGGAGGGCGCGCACCTCTTCCGAGATGGCCGAAGGGACTGACACCTTGCAATCCCTGTAATCGCGTTCGAAGAGGTCATTTTCCGACGGCCCTTCTTCCATCGCAGCAGGTAAGTCTCGTCGTACTGCTCGAAGAGACCAAGGACATCAACAATCAGCTGGACACGAGGCTCCCAGCTGTCTCACGCCGGTGGATAGCCACGCCAGCGGACGAGGTAACTCGTCCGGACGCCATTCACATCGCGGTGGTTCAAAATACGCTCCACTAGGACGCGTTGACCACCGCTAGAGTCCAACAAAGGATGTGGTGGCGGCCGGAACACCTGATCCGGCTCGAGGGTCGGATCAGCTTGACGTTCAAGAGCTGAACCGTTTAATGAAACTATTGCAAGATGATCTGGCTTACGAACGGATTCGACGTTATGGGCTTGAGAATATTGTAAATGACAATTAAAAGTCTTTAGCGCAAGATCGTTTAAATTTCTTGCCGCGTTTGCGGTTGCGCAACTTGAGAACGAACGTTCGATTTAATCTCTCTGTGACGAGCTGGCTGTAGCTCGTCGAGGCATCGCTGAACTGCGTGAACAGGTCGCTTCGCTAGTCAACCAGATTGGCTCGTTGGAACGGAACCACTCGAAGGTGGTCGCGGCTTTCGACCGCGGAGGCGTTCTTCGCATCTCGAAACGGGCTCGTACTGATAGTACGGGCGGAGACGACCCACGTAAAACGTATGATGCGTCCGCATCTTACGGGGCAGATCAATCGTGTATGCGATGCCCATTCGGCGCAACACACGAAATGGACCGATGTACCTGGACAGTTATTTACTGCTGCCCACGTTTGACACAACGTGTTTTGGTAGATTAAATGTAGACAGTAAAACTAGGTCTCCTTCATCAAATGAAAGAACATTTTCTCTTCCATGTTTGTCTGCGTTTCTCTTCTGTCTGTCTAGTACATCTGCAATAGAGTCTTGAACGAAGCGGACAACCGCTTCCGAGTCAGCAGCAATTCTTTTTCTGATTCATCCTTGTCAACAGCAGTGCGCTTCGTGTGCACTGCTGACAGAACGTTTTCTTCATCAGTATAGGCTTCGCCGTCCTCACTTTGGCAGTCATTGGCGATGCTGAACA